GTCATCTGAACTAGCCAGATGTTTAACTGAGAATCAATCGCAGTCCATCATTTGAAAAGTAAGACTTTAGAGCTTTCTTACACCCAATTGGAAAATACAGTCAAACCTCGAATCCTGAACGCCTGTTTCGGAATGCTTTTTTTTGGAAGCCAAATGTCCGACGCGGCGTCTGCTGAGAGCAGGAAAATCCTGCAACCAATCGGAAGCTGCTACAGTGGTACCTCGGGTTAAGTAGTTAATTTGTTCTGGAGGTCCGTTCTTAACCTGAAACTGTTCTTAACCTGAAGCACCACTTTAGCTAATGGGGCCTCCTGCTGCTGCCGCGCCGCAGGAGCACGATTTCTGTTCTAATCCTGAAGCAAAGTTCTTAACCCGAGGTACTATTTCTGGGTTAGCGGAGTCGGTAACCTGAAGCGTATGTAACCTGAAGCTTATGTAACCCAAGGTACCACTGTATTCGGTTGTCAAACCTTTTGGAAGCTGAACGGGCTTCCGGAATGGATTACGTTCAACAACTGAGGTTTGCCTGTAGACATTCTGTTTTGGCAACCATAACCTTGGTTTAAGGAGCCATTTGGTGTGTAATAATAATAATAATAATTTATAATTTATACCCCGCCCATCTGGCTGGGCTTCCCCAGCCACTCTGGGGGGCTTCCAAAAAAATATTAAAATACTGTAATACATCAAACATTAAAAGCTTCCCTAAACAGGGCTGCCTTCAGATGTCTTCTAAAAGTCTGGTAGTTGTTGTTCTCTTTGACATCTGGTGGGAGGGCGTTCCATAGGGAGGGTGCCACTACCGAGAAGGCCCTCTGCCTGGTTCCCTGTAACTTGGCTTCTCGTAGTGAGGGAACCGCCAGAAGGCCCTCGGAGCTGGACCTCAGCATCTGGGCAGAACGATGGGGGTGGAGACGCTCCTTCAGATATACTGGGCCAAGGCCGTTTAGGGCTTTAAAGGTCAGCACCAACACTTTGAATTGTGCTTGGAAACGTGTAGCTTATTTATCTTGAGTTTCTATCACTGCGTAGAAGGCAGCTTTCGATCTTCCTAAATAGGAGGTGTGAGAGGGCCGGAAAAGGGGACTCCCTCCATCGCAGGGAGGAAGCGGAAGGCAGAACCACAGTCAGAAACTGAAAAGTTGGAGCTTGGTATTCCTTTGGATAAATTTGCAGCCGGGACAGATCTTGAACTGGGAGCCTGGGTGTTGCTGATCACATGCTCCCCACCCCTCCCCAGCCGCTGCAGTTTTAAAGCAAGATATTTTGGGCTGCACAGATGCTGATTCCAATGCTCAAATCTTTAAAGCTTATCAAAAACCTACTCTCTGCCCCCCCCACCCGCTTTCCCCTCCCTAGTTTGGAGCCCTGAACATTCTTAACCACCAAGATCTTCTTATGTATAATAAAATCAAAAAGGTCTCTCTTCCCAGATTTCCTGCTAAACCCAGAGATGATTATAAGCTAAATCCCTTGCATATGGTGCCGTACTTTGCTAAAAAGTTGCAGCGCTGCCTTAGGCAGATTAACCCCTTCCCTGCACCTTTGTCAGGCCAGACTTGTCACAATAACATTTCCAAGGAGCACCAAGGCCTCTCGTGGGATGAGGGTCCAGGTCAGAACCAGGCGGCTGTTCTACCTGCATGGAAAGCTGTGTGTATGTCAAGCAGATGAAGCGAATGTCCTATTGGCCATAGAATTCAGCTTCCAGAGAATCTACGGTTTCCTGGATTTAAACTACTGAGCAAGTTTCTAGTCCCCATTTCTGGGAAAATACGCTTGAAAGGGTAGTGGGCCAGGCCTGCTGAAATTTCTGGTGTATTTTAAATATTTATTTATTTAGATAGATAGATAGATAGATAGATATACAGTGGTACCTCGGGTTACATACACTTCAGCTTACATACGCTTCAGGTTACAGACTCCGCTAACCCAGAAATAGTGCTTCAGGTTAAGAACTTTGCTTCAGGATGAGAACAGAAATTGTGCTCCGGCTGTGCGGCGGCAGCAGGAGGCCCCATTAGCTAAAGTGATGCTTCAGGTTAAGAACAGTTTCAGATTAAGTACGGACCTCCGGAACGTACTTAACCTGAGGTACCACTGTACATACCGTATTGACCTGAACATAAGCCACACCTGAATATAAGTTGCACCTTTAAAATTGAAGGGGGGGGGGGGGAGAAAAAAAGACAATACTTGAATATAAGCCACTCCCTTACAATTACGCAGGCACTAACACCCATAAATGGCAAATGTAGACAAAAATCCTACGGGTACTAGAGAGGACCCGCAAGTGGGTTAAACACCTGTTCGTAGAACCGTAAATGCAAATAAAAAATCAATACTGCACTGTAAAATACGGGGAAAGCGATGAATGGCAGAATTAATTGCACAACAGACTCAAGCTTGCAAATCGGCAATAGAACATTTTTTGTTCCATTTCACCGTATGTCTGTTTCAGCAGCGATATCGTAAAAGCCCATTTTTGTAAGGTTGCGAATTTAAGCCACACTTGAACTTTTAGTGTGGCTCATATTCAGGCCATATGGGGGGTGTGTGTGTGTGTGTGTGTGTGTGTGTGTATATATATATATATATATATATATAGCGCCTGTAAGTGGTTTTATGTAAGATGTTCATTTAAAGATAGCATTAAAAACAACAGACGTAATCAAATTACCAAAATAATAGATAAGCTCAACAGATTATTAAAATAAATAAATAGCAAAATTACATGTCTGGGAAGGCTTGTGTTAAAAAACAGAAGTTTTTACAAGGCCTCACAAACAGTACATCGAAGGCGCTTGCCTTCAATGGGCAGGGAGTTCCACAGGGAAGGTACTATCACACTTAAAGAGTGATTTTTTCCCTAGTTGTTGCTGTATAAGCTTTTCTGAAGGAATCGAGGCAGCTTCAGCACCCTGGTTACTCCATGCTCTCCCCAACAACCACCAGAACAAATTCTGGGAAAGTGTTTCTTTTGGGGGGGTGGTGGTGGTCTTTTTAATCACAGAATGAATTAGACAAAATATACCAATTATACAATTTGCTCAGACCTGCAGAATTGATGGATTGTGCCAATTGCGTGCGGCTCAGAAAGGCGAAACGTGAGGCTGTCAGAGGTGAGTTCAGAATGGAGGAAAGGAGACTGTGCTGGGCCCAGGGGTAACCCGTGAAATGCGGTCCAGGACCGGTTCAGAATCCGAAGGTTCTGCTGGGAGTCAGTCTGAAAGGGCTAAGGCAGGACACGAGGCAGGAAACCAGCCAAGGACAGGTAGAGGCTCTCAGGCAGGATCTAGCATACAGCAATGTTGCTCCCGCAACCTGGGGCAGGGTCCAACAGCCTTTTATCTTTGTTGGGGTAGTGGCCGGTCCTGATCCCCCGGTGACTCACCTCCCTGTTTCGCCCGAAGGCGAGCACTCCTCCTGCGAGTACTCTGGTCTCTCCTTCTCTCAGACCTTAGTCTCTGCAGCTTGGGAGACGTCGGTGGGTTACTAGACCCAGAGGCCGCCTCAGTGTCCCCTGACCCAACTGGTATAGGAGCAGCTGTAAGTGATGGCCCAGCTGAAGGCAACGAGGTAATCCCCGCATCTGGAGCCAGGGCAGGTTCAGGCCCCTGAATCGGCCCAGCTGGTGCTTGTTGTGTGGAACTTGTTCAGATTGGGACTCTTCAGGATCAGACCCCAGACTTGCTTCAGATGATGCCTGAGGCAAAGGATCCAGTGCGGACTGAGTCTCCTCTGGTTCCGAGTCCAAGCCTGAGTCCCAGGCCATCACAGAGACCCAGGAATCCTGGAGACAAAGCTATTGCTGGCACAGTGGTACCTCAGGTTAAGTACTTAATTCGTTCCGGGGGTCCCTACTTAACCTGAAACTGTTCTTAACTTGAAGCACCACTTTAGCTAATGGGGCCTCTTGCTGCTGCCGCGCTGCCGGAGCCCGATTTCTGTTCTCATCCTGAAGCAAAGTTCTTAACCTGAAGCACTATTTCTGGGTTAGCGGAGTCTGTAACCTGAAGCGTATGTAACCTGAAGCATATGTAACCTGAGGTACCACTGTACTAGTCACAATGGTTATCTTCTACCCCCAGCATCAGGGGCAGTATACCTTTGAATCCCAGTTGCTGCGACTCGCAAGTAGGGGAGATTTGCTCAGGTCCTGTTTGTGTGCTCCCTATAGGGGCATCTAGTTGTCCCCCTGTGAGACTAGAGAGGCCACAGGCCTGATCCAGCAGCTATGCTCTCCTTCGGAAGGACGTCTTGAATGGGGAGGAAAAACAGGAGACAAGACCCCTTAACTTAGGAGAAATGTATAGGACCGGATTTATTTCAGCTGCGCTACGCACAATCAGCTTTGTTTCAAAACATGCGTACGGCAAGCAGTTCGCTGTCCTCAGGGAAACAGAGCTTGTGGTGGTTAATTATTATTCCTTGTGAATGTTATTATTTCATTTATGGATCGCTTTCCTGGGAAGCCCCTCAAAGCGATTTCGCAGTACAATAAAATCGTATGTAAAACAATTGCATATATAATGGCAGTCAGAACAATGGCCTGTATATATAAAAAAAATCAGTTAGAAGAAGCCATTGCAGTTTCTGCAGTTACATTTATCAGGAAAGCACTTCAAATCCAATACAGATCTCAGCTGGCATAAAAATATCCACTTAGGAGGTTTGGAGAAAGAGGGAGGTTTCCAACAGATGCTTAAAAGACAATGTTGTTTGATTAACCCCCTCACCCAAAAATAAAAATAATCATTTCATTTAGCAATTGCATGAAATATAATCAGGGCCAATGAGACCTTCCTACCCATTGTGGCATGACCCACATGCCACACATCGCTGGCAATAGCCAGGTATGGACAGACCCTCCAGCGCCATCCCAGAATAGTTTAACTATCAACCCCCTTTTCCCAAGGAACTCTGAGAATTGTAGGTCCGTTGGGGGGGGGGAGTAGGGGTTGCCAAGCAACACTCAGCGCGCTTAACCAACGACAATTCCCAGCATTCCTTGGGGTGAAACCATGAGCTTTGCAGTGGCAGAAGAGTGTTTTAAATGTAAGGCGTAGATGTGGCTATAGGCTGCGCATGTGGAAGATGTGTGGGGTATACATGGGTGAGAACAGCAGGCATGGCGTAGTGGATGTCGTGTCTGACTGGGACCCTGGAGACCAGGGTTCGAATCCCCACTTGGCCCTGTTTAGGGAACTTTTTAATGTTTGATGTTTTATTATGCTTTTACAGTGGTACCTCGGGTTAAGTACTTAATTCGTTCCGGAGGTCCGTTCTTAACCTGAAACTGTTCTTAACCTGAAGCACCATTTTAGCTAATGGGGCCTCCTGCTGCCGCCGCACCGCCAAAGCCCGATTTCTGTTCTTATCCTGAAGCAAAGTTCTTAACCTGGAGCACTATTTCTGGGTTAGTGGAGTCTGTAACCTGAAGCGTATGTAACCTGAAGCATATGTAACCCGAGGTACCACTGTATATTTGTTGGAAACCGCCCAGAGTGGCTGGGGCAACCCAGTCAGATGGGCGGGGTACAAATAATAAAATTATTACCATTATTTATTAAGAAGAGGCTGTTAACTGAACAGAGGGCACTTCTTTGACTTGGACTCTCTAGGTTTGATTCATCCAAGAGTTCGTCCATCTTCAGTGTGAGGTCCCATTACCTTTTCACACACATGGGGGGGGGGTATATTGAGCAGGGAAAGTGCTGCAAAAGAAAGACACTTGGATCCTTTGCTACCATTGGCCCCTGTTCCTGATTTAATCTTCCCACAACTGCCTGAATCGCAGAGCCACCCATCGTGAGTCATGTGGCCTCAGTCAAGGTTTGGAGAGAGCATTCCGAAATAGCGCACGAAAAGATCAAGAGCTGTCCTGGGTACTCTCGCCTCATTTTTTCATTTGTAATGCTGGTGTCATGCCTTTGCCTCCTCCCTTTTCCAGCTGTGTCTCTGGCAGCCCATGGAGATCAAATGGCTCTTGGTCCTTGTGGCGTTTGCCCTCCCAGGTGACATCATGCTGGGTCATAAGGAAAGGGTTAAATGAGTGTGAAGTGATTGGCCAGTGGGAACCCAAGGGGAGGAGTTAGAGTTGGAGTTGTTAAGGAATCAGTTGGGAGTTGGAGAAGGAAGAGGGAGGATAAGTCTGTGGGTTGGTCTAGTTTTAATGTGAGAGAGTGAGAGGAACTGTTAGGTGGAGTCAGATAGATAGTTGGTGTTAAGTTGTGGGTGAACATATCACAGTGATTCTTCAAACAGCTCTTGTTTATTCACAGGCCAGGACAGAACTGAACTGAAGGGCTCAGTCAGCCTGCTTATATAGAGCTCCAGTACCATGTTACTGTAACAACTTTCTAAAACTACCCAATCACTGAACGTCACTTTCGATCCTTCATTTGCATAACTATCTACGGTATCCCCCTGCTGGCCCAGGGTGAGAACTTCAGTACATAACAGTTGGGATAATCAGTTTGAAGTTGTTAGGAACGTATAGGTCAGTAAAGAAACTAAGATTAAGAAACTGCCACAAAAAATTAACTGAAACCATAAACTTGTTCATGCTTATAAAATAAACTTGATTATTTGTTAATGTTAACAACTGTCTGGACTCCGTGTGTACCCAAGAGAAACGGGTTGGTGGCAGCGAGGAGGCAATCACAGTGGTGGCACAGGGATCAATAGACCGTTAAATGTCCGGGGACCCTGTGTGATTGCCACAGTCCTGACCTCTAGAATGGGGGGCCGTTAGCCAGCCAATCAGTTGCTTCAGGGGCTACTGTGGCTTCTTCTGAAATGACAGGGGTCAGTGCCTTCTCCAAGGCACTTATGTCGCTGTGTGTTTTTGGCACACTAGATCAGCCTTCTCCCAAGCTGGCACCCTCCAGAGGTTTGAAACTGTGATTACCCCATCAGCCCCACTTGGCAAGATCAGCAGGGGCAGCAAGGGACAGCTGGATGAAAATGTCGACCTGGTGTGTGGTAGCTGTGGAAAAGGCAAACGGGATCATCAGGAAAGGAACTGAAACTGCCGATCGTAACTCCAGTGAATCTGAATGTTGGAAGGTGCAGGGCAGAGCAAAGGAAGGACATCTTCACAAAGTGCATAGTTAACCTGTGGAACTCACTCCCACAAGAAGGCAGTGATGGGTGGATTTCAAAGAGGATTGGACAAATTCAGGGAGGAGAGGGCTATCAAAAGCTGCTAGCCACAATGGCTACTCTCTGCCTCCATGGTCAGAGGCAGTAATGCATTTAAATACCGGTTGCTGGAAGCTACAGGAGGGGAGAATGCTCTTGCGATCAGGTCCTGCTTGTGGCATTTGTTTGGCCACTGTGAGAACACGATTCTGGAGAAGGAGCCGTATAGGAGGTGGCAGAATGCTTTTCATGTGCAAACTCTTGACGCCAGAGAACCAGGGATTGCTCCTGTCTCCAGATTGCCTCTAGAGGGCAAGCTAATCCACTCTCAAAGATAACAGAATTCAATTCTGGCTTTGAGCTTGCCCCAGACACCTGATTATTACAAGAATCAGAAAGGCTTCTTCCTGGGCCAGGATATTTTGTTCCCTCCACTCTTGGGTTGCCCTCTTGAAACCTGGACAAATTCTTTTGATTCCCCTGATGTCACACGAAGAGAGGAAGCTTCCACCTAGCTAGTCAGAGCATCACCCTATCTTGTTCAGCTATGTCTCCTTTGATGGGCAGTTGAGTCTCCAGGGTCTCAAGAGAGAAAGAGAGAGGTGCTTTTCTATCCCTGTTTGCAAATGGCAACTTACCATATTGGCCTTACTTTCCCCCCAAATTCCGACCGTGAAAAGTTAAAGTGTGACTTATATTCGCGACCTTACTGACCGGGAGACTCCGAGACCAGAGAGAAGAGACGGTGGAAAAAGATTGGAAGAAGTTTAAGGAATATTTGAAAAAATATGTTAATGTTTAAATCTTAGAATAGCTTTGGAAGTGGATATAGGCGGTAGGGTTAGAAGTAGAAGATAGTGTATTTTATAAGTGATAACATGTGAAGTTTTTTATGGTTTAAGTAAGTCTGAAAAAAATGGTTAGAAATTATGATATATGTAAACTGCTAAAGATGAAGTAAAATGAAAATCAGATAGGTGGGACTTGGGGAAGCCCACTTAACAATGTTCAGAAAAATAAGGCTATGACAAGAATTTGTTTGTATTGTTTGTCTTTTCTGTTTGTGTTTTTTATTTGTGTTATAAAATGAATAAATTTTTTTGAAAAAAATATATTCGCGACCTTACGGTATGCAGCCAGGAGCGCAGGGCAAACAGTGCTAGGAGTGCGGCAAAGTGTGTAGTCCCCTGTCCTTTCCCCCCAAAGCTGGGAAAGGAGAGAGCAAGGAAGGGGAAAGGCGCTGGCAACGCAGTATGGCTCCCCCCCGCCCAGTATGCAGCCAAGAGCAGTGATGAATGGAGTGGCTTATATTTGGGTATCCCCCCCTCCAATTTTAAAGGTGCAGCTTATTTTCAGGTGTGGCTTATATTCTGGTCAATACGGTATTTATTTTGCTCTGGAGACCAGAAGAAGGTTGCCACTGGAAACTACACTGGCCCAGATCTGCATAGCTTCACCTTGAGAAGTGGCTGGAGGATGAGTTTGGATTTGATATCCCGCTTTATCACTACCCGAAGGAGTCTCAAAGCGGCTAACCATCTCCTTTCCCTTCCTCCCCCACAACAAACACTCTGTGAGGTGAGTGGGGCTGAGAGACTTCGAAGAAGTGTGACTAGCCCAAGGTCACCCAGCAGCTGCAGGTGGAGGAGCGGAGACACGAACCCGGTTCACCAGATTACGAGTCCACCGCTCTTAACCACTACACCACACTGGATGCTCTTTGGGACTGTGCCCTTGAAGCCTGGTGTACCTGGTGGCAAGTCCTGCTGGTGTACACAGTCCCAAGGGTGAATGCTAGCAAGTCCAACAGGTCAAGAAAAAATGGTCCAGGTTCAATATAGTAAGCCAAGTCCAATGTTCCACAGCCAATCTTGAGGGTCTGGGCTTTTGCGGGCCACCCTGCAGCAGCGGCAGGCTCACCAGCCCTCCTAGCCAGCAGAGTCAGACCTTCCCAGGCCTCCCCATGGTGGCAGCGGGCCCTGTGGTCTCCTTCCTGTTATGGAAATTACAGGCACCCCCCGCCATCTTTAAAGTTGTTAAATGTTACAGATATTATGCCTGAATGTATTCTTTCGACTTGACAGGTCAGGGAAGATACCTAGCTTTATGAATCATATAAAATCAACCCCTTTGCCAAGTTCCTCCATTCCAACTCCATTTTGCCCTTGGAAAAAGGACTCTTTCCCCTGCCACCTCCCCAAGCTTGAAGACATGTATACACACCTCCTACCCCAGGAAATGCCCAGAGGGGACAATTGCTGGGCTCATTGTTCTCTAAGGGAAGCCAGATCTCATCACCGGACTTGCCTCAGGCTCCAGACATTCAAAGGAAGTTCTATCGTACTTTTGGGTGGTGGGTACTTAAAACACGTTTGCCTATGCTCATCTTATACTTGGGTGTTGTCCTGACATATCTGTCTATGCTAATCTTGTGTAACCCTCCCTTTTGTGACATGTTAGTGATATAGCAATGGTGTATTGATGATGCTATGTGAACTGTATTCTGGGATATGGTGGGAAAGTTTTAAAAGTCAGTGTCGCCCCATGCTCTAGGTTCACTCACTGCTGTTAAACCTGTTGCACAACAATAAAGGATCTAAGTTATGGGTAAGTAAACTAAAGCCCGGGGGCCGGATCCAGCCCAATCACCATCTAAATCCGGCCCGCGGACGGTCCAGGAATCAGCGTGTTTTTACATGAGTAGAATGTGTCCTTTTATTTAAAATGCATCTCTGGGTTATTTGTGGAACCTGCCTGGTGTTTTTACATGAGTTGAATGTGTCCTTTTATTTAAAATGCATCTCTGGGTTATTTGTGGGGCATAGGAATTTGTTCATTCCCTGCCGCAAAATATAGACCAGCCCCTCACAAGGTCTGAGGGACAGTGGACCGGCCCCCTGCTGAAAAAGTTTGCTGACCCCTGATCTAAGTTTACTGACTGCTGTTTTGCTCCAAAATTGCTTGGCTGGAATTTCCTTCTTTTACAGACCGCATGGACCCACGGGGGACTTGTACCCCAACGAGATGGGCTGTTGAAAATCCTCTCAACCCAGGATTTTCCTTAACGGATGGCACCCAATGTGGGCCTAGCGGTTCTGTCACCCATGTGTGTCACACGCACCTGACGAGTCGACCCCCCCCCCCCAGTGTCGGGTAGAACTCGGCGCCTCTGGTACGGTGGAATTCTGGGAATGGCTAGGAACATCCATAGGCAATGCTTTCCTAAGGAACACAAAAAAAGGGCAGGCTTCTTCCCCCGAGGAAGCCATCAATCTCTTCTCCACACCAGCAGTTCCCTGCGAGGTCAGCCTGCAAGCTTTTTATTTTTAGATGTCCATTAAGTTTTTTTATTAAAGATTTTGTTGATTTACAGAAGTATGTGCAATGTCTCTCTCTCTTGTATCCCCCCCCCCCATGTAATATTTTTTACAAATCGGTTTCATTTGTTGAGACATTAGGAAGAAAAGGGGGAGAGAGGTGGAGGCGGGGAGAGATGGGTGGGGGTGGGGTCGGGTGCCGATGTTTCTATTTTACTTAATATATGTAGGGTTTGGTGTCAGTGTCGCTTGTGCAGGTTCTCTGCTCTTCGCTTGTGTTCCTTTGGTGGTGAGAGAGGTTGGGGTTGGCCTAGGGTGTGGTTGTTCATTTGTGGTTGGCTGTGGTGGTCTTTGTTTTCATGTGTGAGTGGGGTGGGTGGGTGATTGATTTGTATGCCAGATTGATTTGTATGCTGTTGGCGGGTTCTTCTTGTTGTCTTGTTGGGCTGTGTATGTGATAAAGGGGAGCCATACCGGGGTAAAGGCATCTTCTTTTGTTTGTCCCTGTGTCAGTTTCAGTTTATTGGTTAATTTTTCTAGTAAGGCTGTTTCCCATACTCTTTGGTACCATTGGTCCATGCTTACTCCTGACAGGTCTCTCCAGTGTCTGGTTTTGATGTTTCTGGCTGCTGAGAGTAGGTGGGTTATGAGTTATTTGTGGTGTAAGTGGGCATTATTGTCTTGGAAGATGTTTAGTAGGGCCAATTCTTGGGTGATTTCTAATACTTGCTTGGTTATTTTACATATTTCTCGTATGCCTGTTGTCCAGATGCAAGCTTTTTGTTAACATTCCTCTACCTTATTCCTGAACGAACCACCTGTTGTTGCAACAGCCCTGATCCTAATAGAAGAGAGCTGCAAAAAATTAAAATTTCAGCATTATAGGCAAGGAAGAGGGTTTTTTTTTTGCCTGGTCAGCAATAAAACCTCTCTCTCTCTCTCTCTCTCTCTCTCTCTCTCTGATTTCATTGTCCTATTAGCCATCGGCACATCCAGCTGATTGCAGTTCTCAGTGACTCAGAAAAAAGAGGCAAGAATAAAGAAGGCAGCCCTGGTGATGCCGGTCCCCTGACATTCTTTCATGTGAAGATCTTACAGTCTGTTCTCATGTCGTAGGGCATGGTTCCTACAATGCTCCGAGGCGCCATCATTAAAATGGTGTGTGGGGGTGGGACTCCGATTCAGACACAATGGGTTTTGCCTGACAAAAGGCAATTCCATCTCTCTTCTCCCCCTGATATTTCAGACCCCTGTCAGAGAACGATTGACATTTGGAGGAGGAAGAGAAAGCGACCTGCTCTCCTTCGCAGGCTGGCCGGCATGGTGTTGGCGTGGGTCAGGGGACAGCCTGCTGTTCTGCAGAGCCACCACAGCTGATAGCACAGCTCTTCAAAAGGGAGAGTCATGGCTCAGGGGCAAAGCATATGCTTGGCATGCGAAGGTTCCATCATCAATCCCTGCCACCTCCTCATAGGACTGGGGAAAAACCCTGCCTGAAACCCTAGAGAGCCACTTCCAGTCAGTGCAGACAGCACTGAACTAGATGGACCAGTTTGTCTGTAATAGGTACCTTTAAAAGGGCCGTAGCAATGTGGGAGAGGATCTGCTTGGCATGCAGAAGGTCCCAGCTTCAATCCTTGGCAGCACCTGCAGATAGGACTGGGAAAAACCCCTGCCTGAAACCATAGATAGCCGCTGCCAGTCAGTGTAGACAATACTGAGCTAGATGGACCAATTGTTCTGACTCTTTATAAGGCAGTTCCCTACATTCCTGGGGATGGGATTAAAATACGGGAGAGCAGGGACCCAAATGTCGTGGTCCTTCAAGCCTGGATAGCTCAGCTGGTTAGAGCGTGGTGCTGATAACGCCAAGGCTGCAGGTTCAATCCCCGTATGGGACAGCTGTATATTCCTGCATTGCAGGGGGTTGGACTAGATGATCCTCAGGGTCCCTTCCAACTCTATGATTCTACGATTGACACTTCTCCAAAGTCAGGGAAAGGAAAGCACCGAAGGCTAGAAATAAGAATGAGGAGGGATGGGAATCTCAAGGTTTCACTGGAATCGAGCTTTACTGGCTCAACAGATTTCTATAGATTATTCTACAGCAGCACTACAAAAAGGGATGAATATTTTATATGCTGTGCGAATAAACCACCGACTTATGCCAAATATATAAATGTCCAATTATATGTCGTTCCAAATCAAAATGATTTCTTCCAGCCCTGGTGTTTCTGCCGTCCCTGGTTATAACCAGAAGTGAGTCCTGCGCTGGTCAGGAATTCCAGAGAGCAGCCAAGGTGGAATTAAACAGACTGACTGTGTCTCACCTGCCTCCCAGATCGACGAGGCTTTGGGATCTCAGCTGAGTCATCCCAAGTATGTTTCAGATGCTTTGATAGATTGATTTCCTGACCTTTTGTGGTTCCCTCCTCTAACCTTTTGATGTAGCACGAGCAGGAACATCACCACGGCAGACTTTTATGGATCCTGAATATCCAATTGTTCCCCTTCCTATTTTGGGTCGGCTGTAAGATTTTGCTGGCAATCTTAAACTCTGCAATGAATGTGGGTTAATTCCAGTTGCTGGATGCCACTGGAGGGGAGAGAGGCTGTTGCTCTCAGGTCTCTAGCGAACTATTGTCTGCACTTTAGTTCTCTAAGGTTTCAGGCAGGTGTGTCTCTCTTTCCCAGCCATACCTGGAGATGCTAAGAACGGGATCTGGGACCTTCTTCACGCAAGGCAGATGCTCTGCCACTGACCTATGACCCTTCCCTTGTCTCTCTAGCGCCACCTGCTGTTGGGCTCCCTGCCTTCTGCCTCGCCAGTGCCATTGGGCACCAACCACCACTGGCCAGAGGAGGAAACCCATAACGCCATCCCATTTCTCAGGCCCACCCGGTTCTTGTTTCTCCCTCCTCGCCTAGTCGATTTCCTCACCCAGATTTCTTTTTTTTCAGCACCCTTCTCCTCCCCCTCCCTGAAACCAATCAATCTGCAGAGCCTCTTCATTTCTCTGCGATCTTTATCTCTTGTCAAGTGGAAAGAGGGAGAATGGTTTGAGATTTGCACATCAAAAGGAAGCCATGTGTGCTATTGGGGGAAATTAATAAGCATTAAGGGCCCTTTCACAAAGTGTCCAGGCCCAGGGTCAAAAGAGATCCAATTAGAAATGTTCTTGACTAGGAATTGCCCCTCTTCGCTTTGGGGCCTGGATTGAATGGGCTTTCTTGCAAGAAAGCTCTCCTCCTCCTCCTCCTCCTCCTCCTGCTCCTCGTCCTTTCTATGCAGAAAAGCAGAGAGAGAGAGACCATCAAAATGCAGAGCGCAGAAGCACAGAAAACTCCCACCTCCCAAGTGGTGCAAAAGTATCTGGCGAGAAGAACAAAAAAACAGCTGGAGATTGTCAGCATGGGAATGTGGCTGGCAAATTAGGAAAACCATGGGCATAATTACCATAGAAGCAGGAAAGGCACGTAAAGAAATACAGTGGTACCTCGGGTTAAGTGCTTAATTCGTTCCGGAGGTCCGTTCTTAACCTGAAACTGTTCTTAACCTGAAGCACCACTTTAGCTAATGGGGCCTCCTGCTGCCGCCGTGCCGCTGAAGCACGATTTCTGTTCTCATCCTGAAGCAAAGTTCTTAATCCGAGGTACTATTTCTGGGTTAGCGGAGTCTGTAACCTGAAGCGTATGTAACTTGAGGTACCACTGTAATTAAAAATAAAAACCAGTGGCTACTAGTCACGATGGCTAGGCTCTGCCTTGCTGGCCAGAGGCAGTAATGCTTCTGAATACCAGTTTTTGGAAACTGCAGGAAAAGGAGAGTTACTCTTATATTCAGGTCTTGCTTGCAGGCTTTGCATTGGGGCATCTTTTTATGTTCATATCGTCTTAACCTGCATCAGGAAAATGTGTCAATTTATCCCCCACACCCAAAAAGAAAACAGGGCTTTGTTTAAATGGAAGGAAAATGTGTTTGTGTCTGTTTGACAACCCTGTGGAGGAAATCTAGTGCTTATATATATATTTTCACCCCTTCCCTCTCCCATTAGTGGATTATTCTCTCACGCTCTCTCTCCTTCCCCCCGTTCCTTGCAGCAAGGAAGTGGAGCTGGTTATTAAAGCTGTATTTCGTGGGCTCTCTCTGCTCTGAGCATCTGGGGAAAACCTCTGACAACAGGCAGCTCTGCCAACCATCACAGGGTGAAAAGGGATGGAAGATAAAGTAATTAGAAGCCAGAAGAGTCTTGCAGCAGCTGGGGTGTTGACTAAGTTCCATGCCCATTGTGCTGCAGGATCTTAAACCTGTCATGTTGGAGGGGAGGCAGGTGTCCTGTTTGCAGAGGACAGTCCTCTGCTTAGAGGCCTCCCTTGGTGTACCCATCCCCCAGCTGAAATCAGACTTGAAAGAGGCATTGCGTTGGGTCCTGATATATATCGTGCTCTAGGAGGCTTAGTTAGAGGGACGCGGGTAGCACTGTGGGTTAAACCACAAAGCCTAGGACTTGCTGTTCAGAAGGTCGGCGGTTCAAATTCCCGAAATGGGGTGAGCTCCCATTATCCGGTCCCTGCTCCTGCCAACCTAGCAGTTCGAAAGCACGTCAGAGTGCAAGTAGATAAATAGGTACCACTCCAGCGGGAAGGTAAACGGCGTTTCCGTGTGCTGCTCTGGTTCGCCACATGACCCGGAAGCTGTACACTGGCTCCCTCGACCAATAAAGCGAGATGAGCGCTGCAACCCCAGAGCTGGCCATGACTGGACCTAATGGTCAGGGGGCCCTTTACCTTTACCTTTAGGAGGCTTAGTTTGGTCAGAATCGAATACAGTGGTACCTCGGGTTACATACACTTCAGGTTACATACGCTTCAGGTTACAGACTCCGCTAACCCAGAAATAGTGCTTCAGGTTAAGCAGCTTAGACATGTGAAATGTTGGAAAATCTGTGCCCTTTCAGTGCAGATTTCAGTTTTGAAAAAGAAACAAAATCCAGTGGGGCCAGACTGGGAGAATATGGGGGGTGGGACAACTCAGTAACCTCAGTAATGATTTCACGTGGAATATGCAATTCTTCCGCCATTATTTGGACGGACAAACGCCAATCCCACATCAATAACTCATGAACTCAGTCGATATTTGCTGCTGTTCTGCTCGTCAACTGTCTGCCAGACTGAGGGTCATCGTTGATGGTTTGCCACCCTTCACGGAAACGCTTAAAGCACTGATACACTGTCTTTTGAGTTATAGAGCCACTTCTGAGCTTGGGAGGAGGTGGGATTGTGGGCTTCACACCCACCCCACGTGCCCGGGGGCTGTTTCCCAGCCCCCGTGAGATCAGGGGAATCCTCGGCCACGTCATTCCCCCCAGCCAGCCAATCGGCTGGCTGGGTGTGTGTGGCCTGCCCTATTTAGGGCCGGGGCGGCCGAGGCTCCTCCTCTTTTCGCCGCGCCAGCCAGCTGATTTAGTTTCCCACCCTCCCTCCCTTTAGGTAGGCTCCTTGACTTTGCTATGGAATTCAGTTGGTCGCCGCAAGGGGCCCGGTAGGAATTTTTTTCCAATAGGTAAATTGGCTCCAGCCAATTGGTTTTTTGCCTACCTCGTAGCAACTTGTCACAACTCCTCGGCACTGGCAGTTAGGCATTGGTAAGGGAGGGTTAAGTGTATGTGAGGGGGGGGAGGAAGCGCCATCGCCTCCCCCCACAGCAAGGGGTAGTCTGATAAAGGACTCCGGGGGCGTTGCCCTGTCCAAAGCCTATGGAGGTGTGGGCCTAAGGCACGCCCCCGAGCGGTGACCCCAGGGGAGCTCCTAGTTGACGTGCCTCAGCAGGACTCCCTCTACTGGTGGTTAACCCTTGCCGGTCTTCATGCAATCGGGCTGAAGCCGGATAGTCGGTTAGGACCAGTGCCTAAGCCAATACCGCTCATTCCTGTAATCAATAAAGTTGTGGCCTATTTTGCCCATTAACCTTAATACTTGGTGTCCTGTGTCTTTATTTCTTCTGGGGGGAGGCGGGAACTCGCCATGCAACTTCATCTCCATACACAATTGTGAGC